AACCAGAAAGAGAAAGAAAATTACCATATGATATCACTTATATGTGAAATCTAAAAAAAAAATGAAAATAGAAACAGACTCACAGATACAGAAAACAAATTTATGGTTACTGTGGGGAAAGGGGTGGGAAGGGATACATTGGGAGTTTGAGATTTGCAGATACTATTACATATAAACTAGATAAACAACTAGTTTATACTGCATAGCACAAGGAACTATATTCAATATCTTGTAGTAACTTATGGTGAAAAAGAATATGAAAATGAATATTTGTAAGTTCATGTATGACTGAAGCATTATGCTGTACACCAGAAACTGACACAACATTGTAAACTGACTACACTTCAATTTTATATACATATATATAATATATATATATATATAAAACATTGCCAAATAAACAAAGCAGGTTTGACAGACTAAAAATGAATTAAAAAGATAAAAACTGAAATGGTAGAAAATAATTTTAATTCATTCTTTTTGTTGTTACTTTCTTTATATGTACCCCGCTACATTATGAAGACAAGGCATATCAGTACAATAGAAAAGCAAAAAGAATATAATGGATACCATAATTCTACCTATCCATAGGTAATAGAACTTAACACTTTGGTGCTGTGTCTTTCCAAAATACAGACTGTCTTCTTCTGAACACAACTATCTTTTATCCTAAACAGCCATGTTACTCCTGTCACTGTAGCATTAATGTTATTAGTTTCTAAGCTCCAAAGTCTGAGGGAGGAAAGGGAAGGCTGAACGCCCTAAAGTGAGCATAGTAGAAAGAGTAAAATGACCGAAATGAAACTTCCTGCTTCGCAATTTGGCTTGGGTTAATCCTGAGGCCTAAAAACTACCATGTAGCCACTCAGTAACTGTCAAATAAATGAAAAAAATGTATCAACATCAGAATCAGTTTAACATATATCTATTTAATGTTCAGTGTCTCATAAGGATGTTATTTCTAACTTCAGGATAAAACTTCAATACAGTTTTTAGCTCTTGACATTGGGCAATGTGGGCACATATTTATCTAATCCGTGGCACCTTTCCTTTCTGACAAGTTTCTACTCTGCTGGACCACCATATCTGAAACGACCACTCTGAGGCGACTACCGCCTTATCGCTTTACACTTTTCTCACATCCTCTATCCTGTGACGGACATTTACTATTTGGTTTAATCCTACAGGCTCATTATTGCTTATGTGAAAAAGAGATATCTTATCACTGGGATTTGGTCTGAGGGCAGAAACTCCACCACAATCTTTGGCCCAAATATTGAGTTGAGAAATACCTTTAAAAAAAAAACACCAGCCACCCTCATCTACACCCCAAATTATGAGATGTTTATATATATTCTCCTTTAAAAATTTGGATGTCTTAAAAATTGTTTTATTGTAGTCACATGTAAAACAGAGAGGATAAATAAAAGTAGCCCAGAATTAAGCACCACTGTTTCTTCCTTCAGAGACTGTCCTCTAGATTTCCTAGTGTTTGCAAAATGTATATTTAAAATATACATTAGATATTCCAGTTACATGAACAATAACAATTATAAAAAACTGCACTAGGTAATACTTGTGTCTAATGTGTAATGTAGCAATCAATGTTCATTATGAAAAAGTTTTAATACAGAGGAGAACATTTTTTTCCAGAAGTTTTAAGAAAATTAATTCTTTTAAGAACAACTAACGTATCTGAAAGTTTGACATTCAAACAAACACTCAACACAGAAATGGCTGGTTGCCTATGACTTTCCTAAACTCCCCATTTGAACTATGGTCAAGCTATCCTGAATAAGCTAACCTGAATACAGGGAACCCAGCCCAATCAAACATTTCTTTCTACCTTTCTTCTCTTCTCTCAGATTTTCATTCTGTTACTAATAACAACTACCCTTAATCTATCACAGGAAATATAAAAATAACTCAACTCCTGACTTGCCTGCTCTCTTTCAGCACGTGCATATTTACACCATCACTACATGACCTTAAACAAATTATTTAACTCCATAGAGCCTTGTTTTCTTACTTGTAAAAGGAGATAATGGCACCTACCTAAAAAGATTGTAAAGATTTTTTAAATAAAGTATGTAAAGCTTTTAACATAACGCTTTGTATTTGGCAAATGCATTGTAAATGGTAGTATTGTCTACATTATTATCTTCATCAAGGTAAACAACCTTTCCCAAACCTATAATCTTAACAAAGTAGTATAAAAATAGTGCTTGTGATGAAACTGTTTTAAGGAAAGGAAACAATGAGTATGGAAGTAAAATTAGTCATTGTATTAGTTTTGTTTTGCTCCTGCAACAAATTATGACAAACTCAATGGCTTAAAACAATACAAATTTATTATCTTGCAGGTCTAGAGATCAGAAGTTTAAAATGGGTTGGCTGGGCTGCTTTCTTTCTGGAGGCCCTATAGGAAGAATCCAATTCCTTGACTATTTCAGCTTCTAGAAGCTGCCCACATTCCTTGGTTTGTGGCCCCTGCACCACAATGACCTCTGCTTTTATCATCACAATACCGTATCTCCCTCTGCTTTAGTCATCACCTTTTTTTCACTATGACACTCTTGCCTTCCCTTGTAAGGACACTTGTGATTACACCAGATATTCCAGGACAATCTTCCCATCTCAGGATCCTTAACTTAATCACTCTGCAAAGTCCTTTTTGCCATATGAGGTCACAGGTTCCAGGGATTTGGATGTGAACATAGGGGCCATTATTTAGCCTGCCACAGTCATTAAAAAGAATCAGCCCATTTAACCTTCTAGGAACTGCCCTTAGATTTCTCTGGAATCTATAGAAAACTTTCTATTTTCTCATTTTCCACTAATGAAAATGATACCAGTTAATAAAAATGATGCTGTTTCTGATTCAACATATTGCTTTTCTCTTTTGGTCAAATATCAGTGTTTTGACAGAATTGTTTACTATAACTTTATAGCAAATATGTATTCTGCATTAATGGGTTAAATTAGGAAGCAAATAGCTATTCATAACAGTGATCCTCTGGGGGAATTATTTCACAGCCCCAAGCAATGCACTCATTAATTTGCAACACAAGCTATTTATTTCTCTTAATTGTGATAAAATAAATATAGCATAAAATTTGCCATTTTTACCATTTTTAAGTATGCAATGTAGTGACATTAATTATATTCACAATGTTGCACAACCATCACCTCTATTTTTAAAACTTGTTTGTCACCTAAAACAGAAACTCTGTACTCACCAAGCAATAACTCTCATTACCCTCTCCTCCTAGCCTCTTATAACCTTTAATCTACTTTCTATCTCTATAAATTTGCCTGTGTTAAATATTTACATGATACATTACATTTGTCCTTTTGTTTCTGGCTTATTTCACTGTTTTCAAGGTTCAACCATGTTGTAGCATGTATAAATACTTCATTCTTTTTTATGACTGAATAATATTCCTTTGTGTGTATAATACTGCATTTTGTTTATCCATTTATCTGTTGATGGACACATGGGTTGTTTCCACTTATTGGCTATTGTAAATGATGCTGCTATTGGTATACAATAAACATTGGTGTTTAAGTATCAGTTCAAGTCTTTGTTTTCAATTCTTTTGGGTATATACCTAGGAGTGGAATTGCTGGATGATAAGGTAATTCTACGTTTAACTTTTTGAGGAATTGTCCAATTGGTTTCCACAGCAGTGTGCCATTTTATATTCCCACCAGCAACATACTAGGGTTTCACTTTCTCCACATTTTCACCAATACTAGTTATTTTCATTAAAAAAAGTAACCATCCTAGTAGATGTGACATGATATTTCATTGAGATTTTGATTTGCATCTCATGCAAATCATGTGTTTATTGACCACTTGTACATTTTTTTGTTGGAGGAATGTCTATTCAAGTTCTTTGCCCATTTTAAAAAATAGATTGTCTTTTTATTGTTGAGTTGTAGGATACTTAAATATTTTGGATTTTAGTCCCTTATCAGACATACGATTTGCAAATGTTTTCTCTCATTCCATGGGTTGTTTTCCATTCTCTTGATAGTGTCCTTGGATGTACAACAGTTTTTTATTACTATGAAGCCCAGTTTATCTATTGTTTCTTTTGTGGCTTGTGCTTTTGGTGTCATATTTAAGAAACCATTGTCAAATCCAAGTTCATGAACATTTTTCCCTATGTTTTCTTCTGATAGTTTTATAGCATATAATTTCTGAGTTTCATACCTTTTAAATTTAGGTCTTTTATTCATTTTGAGTTAATATTTGTATATAGTGTAAAGTAAGGGTCCATGCTTTTGAATGTGGCTATCCCAGCACCATTTGTTGAAAGACTGCCCTTTCCTCACTAAATGGTCTTGGTAACCTTGTCAAGAATCAACTGACCATAACAGATCTGAGGGTTATTTCTGGGCTCTTAATTCTATCCCATTGGTCCTTATGTCTACTCTTATACCAGTACCACATTGTTTTAATTATTGTACCTTTGTAGTGAATTTTGGTATGAGGAAGTGTGAGCTCTGCAACTTTTTTCTTCTTTTTCAGATTGTTTTGGCTATCCTGGGTCCCTTGAAATTTCATATGAATTTTAGGATGAATTCTTCCATTTCTGAAAAATGTGCTATTGGGATTTTGATAGTGATGCACTGAATCTGCATATTGTTTTGGGGTAATATTTTCATCTTAATAATATAAAGTATTCCCCATGAGCAAGGATGCCTTTCCATTTATTTAGTTTTTCTTTAATTTCTCTGAGAAATGTTTTATAGTTTTCAGTGTACAAGTCTTATGCCTCACTGGTCAAATTTATTCCTAAGTATTTCATTCTGTTGGATGCTATGATAAATGGAATTATTTCCTTAATTTCTTTTTTTCTGATTTTTTATTGCTAGTATATATAGATTCAGCTGTTTTGTGTGTTGATTTTGTATCCCGCAACTTTGCTGAATTCATTAATTAGCTCTCAGAGGGGTGTGTGTGTGTGTGTGTGTGTGTATTCTTTATATAATCTGTGAATAGAGACACTTTTACTTCTTCCTTTTCAATTTGGATACATTTCATTTCTTTTTCTTGCCTAATTACTCTGGCCAGCACTACCAAATTCTATGTTGAATAGAAGTGGCAAAAGCAGGCATCCTTGTCTTGTTCCTGATTTTAGGGGGAAAGCTTTTAGTCTTTTTCCATGAGTACGATGTCTCTGTGAGTTTTTTTTTTATATATATATCCTTTATCATGTTGAGAAGTTCCCTTCTAGTCCTAGTTTACTGAGTGTTTTTACTATGAACGGATGTTGGATTTTGTCAAATGCTTTCTCAGCATTAGCAGAGATGATCATGTGGTTCCCCTCCCTCATTCTATTAATGTGGTATGTTACATTGATTTGGTATGTTGAGCCACTCTTGCATTTCTGAAATAAATCCCCCTTGGTCGTGGTGTATAATCCTTTTAACATACTGCTGAATTCTATTTGCTAGAGTTTTATTGAGGAGTTTCAAACTTACATTCACAAGGAATACTGATCTATCTGTAGTTTTCTTGTAGTGTCTGGGTGTCTTTGGTATCAGGATAAGGCTGACCTCAGGGAATGAGTTAAGAAGTATTCTCTCTCCTCTTCTATTTATTGGAAGAGCTTGAGAAGTATTCATGTTAATTCTTCAAATGTTTGTAGACTTCACCAGTGAAGTCATCTTGTCCTGGGCTTTTCTTTGTTGGGAGATTTTTGACTGCTGATCCAATCTCCTTATTTGTTATAGGTTTATTCAGATTTTTCTATTTCTTCTTAAGTCAGTTATGGTACTTTATGTGTTTCTATGAATATGTCCATTTCATCCAGGTTATCGAAATTGTTGGCATACAGCTGTTCATAGTATTCTCTTATACTGTTTTTTACTCCTATAAAGTCAGTAGTAATATCTTCTCCTAAATTTCTGATTTTAGTAATTTGAGATTTCTGTTTTCTTTTTCTAGCTAAAGATTTGTCAATTTGTTGATCTTTCCAAAGAACCAATTTTTGGTTTCATCGATTTTATTGTTTTTCTAGTCTCTATTTCATTAATTTCTATTCTAATCCTTATTTCCTTCCTACTTATGGCTTCAAACTCAATTAAATATAATAAATTCAGGAATTAATTTTTAAATGCTTAAAATTTAAGAATAATTAAACACGATTGAATGATCAGGCAAGAGCAGTCTATTTGTTAGAGTTGCTATTTAAATCCATACAAATAGCTCTCATATAATTCACAGCAGAATATGAAGATGTTTAGAAAAGGGCAAGAGGTCATGGGGGATAACTACCCTAGAATGAATGTTAAAGCCACCTTTTAGCTTATGGGACTTGTGTCAGACTGAAAGAGAGCATGGCCTCTTAGATGTTTACAGGAAAAATTAAAATCAAGTTTCACTTTTAGATCACCTCACCATGTCATGAGATATATCAAACCTGGTCTGTTTCTGAAGAAAACAAGTATGACAAAAACCCTCTGATATTCCATGAATATTGATTTCTCCTCTTGAGAGAACAACATGTATCAAAGTAATGTCATTACCATAATGTGGGTTCCACAACTCTCCCCAAAGATGTAGCCCATATGTCACTGAGACTGGCTTTCTAACAGTCTACTCAGAATAACTGCCTTCTCTCTGTTTACATTTGCATCTATTTCCTGCTTAGTTTTCATACTTCATCTTACCTGACCAGGATCACCTCCATCACCAGATGTCTCATCCTTCCCACCTACCTCCTACTTCATTAACCATGATCATTCAAAATGAGAGACTCAAGGTCATATCTAAGGGGTTGGGATCACAAAAATAACTGTCTGCAGTTTTCTGTTATTCTCATATATGACCTCACCAAAATAAAGAAAAGAATGAAAGGACATCCTAAGTGGTTAACTGGGATTAACAGGTACTTACCCTAATTAGGAGGCTCTCTACAGAAAACAATGAAACATTGTTTTAAACAATAAAGGCTGTTACCTTAGATGACAGGAAGCCCATGGTAGGTATACTCCAGGTTTAACTTATCAGCTCATTAGCATCATCGAGGACTCCAGTTCTTTCCATTTTCTTCTATGTCATCTCACTTTGTTTGCAAGCTGGCTCCTTTTTGGTTACAAGATGGCTGCAGCAGATCTAGTCATCACACTTGGACATGCTAACATCCAGGGCAGTTGCCTCTTTCTTGTCTGTATCTCTCTCATTTTAAAAATGAAGTTTTTTAGATTATATTTAAAATTATTGGATTACTGGCATCTTGATCTTGTTAATCTCCTTCTTCTTTCCAATAGCATCTGTTAAAAACAAAGTGCCTGTGTAAAAAATAATTTTAATAAAATTCATGGAATAGTTGCCCAGTGAGGTGGGGATTTTTAGGGGTGAGGTTGGGGAGGGGTGCATAGACTAGTGGAAAGTGAGAATCCAGTGGGTCTTAAGTCTAGTAGTGGCAGAAATTTGCAGTCAGAAGCAAAAGTTTTGGACTAGGATTTCTTGGTCCCTCAGTTGTATCTTTTTGTTTTTGTTTTACCTCCTTACTTCTAAAAAATTTGTATTCTGTAATTTGCCTTAGCTAAACTTTCTTAATCTCATATTCTAAACTGTTCCATTTAATCACCACCTTCAGATTTTAAGCGTTTCGTTCACTGAATACCATCTCCTTTCCTTCTAGAATATGTTACTGTGCCAACTGCAATATTCCTCTGACTCAACAGGATCTCCAATCCGTTGAGCCTATAAAGTGTTGACTGTTCATCACCCCATCGTTTGTCTCTTAGAACCAAAAACCTTTCCCAGAAACACCCCAGTAGACTGACCTTCATATCTTAGTGACTAGAATGGAGTCAAAAGCTCTTTCTTAAACCAAAACTGGTAAGAAAAATAGAGTTACCAGGATTGGTTTAAACTAATCAGGATTTTTTTCCCTGAGGTGGGGATAGAGTAATCTTTCTGAGAGGTGAATACCTACACATTGATTCCAAGGTAAAAGGGGGAATAAATGTTGGGTGGTTAGCTAATAGTAATTGGTATATTATTTTCCGTAAAATTCATATTTTAGCCTCAGCTACAAGTGACACTTTTTGTATCACTGTTCATTTGTCAGGAATAGGGTAGGCATTAGAAAAAGAAATGCAAAGATAGCTCTGTTTCCATTGATCACATTCTAGAACTGGTTATACCAAATACTTGCTGGATGACTATACATAAGACATCTAACCTCTTTTTGTCTTGATCTCCACATTCACAGCATGATATAAATATTGTTCTTCATATGTCATGGGATAGCTGGGAAGATAAAAGATAATTACACTGTATAAATGCAAAGGAATATTATTTTAGTTTCCCACACTGCCTGTATGTTCTATTTTTATTCATTCATCCATTTATCCACCCTTTCAACGAATAGTTGCTTACAGTGTACTTCATGCAAGACATGGAATGAATTATTTGGGAATCAAAAAAATTTTTCCCAATGGCCCCTGCATCTAAGGTATTAGCCAATGAATGATTTAATAGCAACAGCTTTCTCTTAGAGGACAGAATCAGACAAGGTGGTATACGATATAAGACATGAAAGGTAAAGTAGGGTAATGAGGGGTGTTGTGGAACTATAATGGTTGCTTCAACTGGAGTGTGATCTGCCCTGTTATTAAAGTGGCTGCAATCAAGTGTATGAGTGTACAAGCGCCTACATTGCTTTTCTAGCTTAGGTATGATTGGGTTTTAATATTTACTGATATAAATATAAGCAAAGTAATGAGATAGGTTTATGCTACAATAAAATGGAAAACTGAAAGAAGATTGGTCCGTGTACAGACTAACGAGACAATATGAAATAGACATTAACGGACTAAGTAAAAAACTGCCTAACTGATGAACTAATAAAGAAAGAACAGTTGTTCTGAAAGTTATCCATTCTTTGGAATGAATGATAAGGAAACACTGTTGGCTTTAAAGTCAGCTAACCAATTGTCTTAAAGATCCAATAGCTCAAAAATATTTTTCAATTTTGGAATACTAACATTCCAGAAAAAAATAAGATGTTAAAACATAATTGCTATTGTCTATGCTTGTTCTTGAAAAATATGGGGGAGAAGTGAGATTTTTACCAGGAATTGGAATCTACTATTTATCTTTGTAATAGGATAACAATATAGTTTGGATGGAGGGGACTTGTGCAGGACATGATGTTTCTGAGCAACAATGTTGCTTGTTGAAAATCATTGCAAAACAGGACTAGAAAATGAATAGCTACAATTTCCCCCTATTAACTGGGAGTAGCAAAGCATAGAAAGAATACTGGTAATTTAAACTTACCATAATTTTGTATCTGGTTTCTCAAATAGTTCTGGGGATTTCAAACCAGATTTGATGGGTGAGAAGCATTCCCAATGTTAAAATCCTAGGATGTGTCAGGACACTGGAAGAGAAGTTCTATCACTACAGAATAACTCTCTTAGCATGGTATAATAGAGAATGTAAAATAGCAGGTCACCTGCATTGTTGTTGTGTAGTTCGTGAAGTTCTACCCATCAATCGAAACACAACTTAAACAACTCAGTTTTGCTTTGAAATGCTGGGGAATAATGCAATGGTTAGCTCCTTTCGAGCAAAGGTATCTTTCAGTCTGAGTAGCTTGTGATCTGTACACCCTCCACATTGAAGAAAGGTTGAAGGGACTGCTGTTGACGCACAGCTCACTCCAACTCTGTCCACACAAATGGACCCCTCCTCTGCTGGCTTCATCTACTGCAGTAAAAAACAAATAAGCACTAAATCAATAACTGGCAAAGGAAAGATGAAATAGCAGGGCAGTGAGATACTAGAGTTAAAACTTTTTTGGCCTTAGGCACAAAGTGAGCTGCTTAATATAGTTGTGAGATAATAGATAGCTATGAAAAACTGGACATTTGTCAGTTAATATCTCAGATATTAAGTGATGAACCTGGAATTTAAAAAAACAGAGAAGTCCAACTTTATAAACCTTGTTTTTACTATTTTCATCCATATTTAGAGAACCTGTCCTTTTCCTCATAGAATCTAGCTTTTTCCTTTATCATTACTTCACCAAAAAGCCACCTTCTTTAGTTTAAAATATAGTAGACAGCTATAACTTAAAATATTGTGTATGTCAACATACAATTTTAAGAGTGGAATTCCTTGAATATTATAGAAGTCCTATGAATAAATCTGGCAAAAATAACCTATCCTATTCTTTTTTTTCTTTTTTATTGATGTATTTATTTTATAATATCATATTTTTAAATTAAAGTATAGTTGATGTATATGTTACAGGTATACAATATAGTAATTCACAATTTTAAAGGTCCTATTCCATTCATAGTTATTATAAAATATTGGCCATATTCTCCATGTAGTACAATACAACCTTGTAGCTTATCTTATACCTGATAGTTTGCATCTCTTAATCCTCCACCTCCATTTTGTCCCTCTCCCTTTCCTCTCCCCATTCGTAACCACTAGTTCCTTTTCTATATCTGTGAGTCTGTTTCTTTTCTGTTATATTCACTAGTTTGTTGTATTTCTTTAGATTCCACATGTAAGTGATATCTTATAGTATTTGTCTTTCTGTCTGTCTTATTTCACTTAGCATAATGCTCTCCAAGTCCATCCATGCTGTACACCAGAAACTAACACAACATTTTAAATGAACTGTACTTCAATTACAGAGCAACCAACCAACCAACCAACCAACCAACCCATAGTGTAGTGGACTAATTAGAAAACTTAAGACAAGTTAGAATAATGTAGAACAACAGAGTTCAACCTTTTCCTCTTTTGCTCTGAAAGACAGAACAGATAATGTTCACTTCTGTATAAAATTGCACAACCACTAGCAATTCAAGTCTTCCATTCTCAGCATGATCCTCAGAGCCATCCAACCTTTCACTTGATTTCCATTCCTCTCAATTGCAAATCATTCTCCATTACTTTCCTATCTCTCTCAATCCCAAATCTAAGCTATTTCCACATTCATAAGACTTAATTCTCATTCCTCCAGCTCTTCAGACAATCTTGACTCTGTCACTTAAGAAAATGAGGGCACTAGGCTTGAAATCCATGAATTCTCTGCTGCTAGACCAAATTTATCCATATGTGCACCCATCCTTATAATCTTTCCTCAGAAGATTAGGTATCCTCTCCTTCTGGTCCAAATCAAATTCTCTTGGTTCCATCCTCTTACCTCTCTCAAAGGAAGTTGAACCATTAATCTATTCTGTGTTGTGGCAGATTTGTCAAATACATTGCTATCATGCCTACAACCTCTTATGAGGGAAGACAATCCACCCACGGTCTTCGCAAAGGAGCAGCCATGTTTTGTGTCATGCAAACCTCTGTGTACTAACTGATTGGATAAGGCAGGCAGCCATTTCAAGGGGCAGCCAATTTGTAGGCTGGTCAGAGAATTAAGTGGCCTGGCATGAAAACTTTTCAAAAAAGTGCTCACTGCTTTAAGAATGAGAGACCTATTTTAAGTGAGATGAGTGGATTTTTATTATTAGTAAAGTTACAAAATAATCTTTGATGCATGCCTTGTCTGTTAAAGTCACTCATTTTAATATAAAAGTTTATAATGTATGGTTGTTAGAAAACTAAGTATCTCAGTACAGGAATAATAATGACATTGAACATTATTAATGACACAAATTATCACTTATAGCAGCCTATAATTATACGGGGTTATATCATCTCTGATTCTCATAACAGTCCTGTGATGTAGGTATTCTAAATTCCTAACTTTCAGATAAGAAAACAAAAGGTTTAGGGAAACTTGGGTAACTTTTCAAAGTCACTCAGTTAATGTGTGGCTGAGTTACAGTCTGGATTTAATGCTTATGAATTTTGTCTTCTTTATATCTGTTTTTTCCCTAGCCCAAACAATTAATGCATTGCTTAATTTTATCATTTATCACCTTGGCTTAACACCAGAGTGACTGGAGTTGCTTTATATTAAGTATTTAAACAGCATAAATTAACAGATGAATAATTAGAGAAATGAAAATGCAATCAGGCTGGGGCAAATTTAGTGCATAAGAATGTTTGCTAGGTTTTGTATGTAGAGAGGGCCTCTAAAGACTGTTTCACTAGGAAGAAGTGATGCCTTTAGGAAGACTTGGTAGCTCCTGAGGACTCAGATTGGGCATGAGAGGTGATCATTATTAACCACATATATAAAATAAAATAGTGAGATACATCTGACATAAATGCTTGCTGAATGAACTCGGAAATACTACCAAGTACCTCAGCATATAAAATATATGGTGAGCAAGTCCATAAAGGGTAGGTGTTCATTAACTATTAATTTGAGCAAAATTCTGTGAAAATATGACTGACTATTCAGTGAATCACTGACCATCAGTGAATATTCAGGCACTGACATTCCACAAAATGGCATATCAAAAAAGAACATATCCTAAAGATGGTTACCTGCCACAGAACATCTTAAAACTTACAGCATTCAAGTTGGAATCTCTCCTTGGCCTTATATCATTTTCTTCACTGGTAAACAGATGTACACTTCTCTGAACCAGAGGGGCACTTTTACGGAGAAAAAGAATAAAGATGGAGATGGATTTACCACAAGCAATTCGATAATGTCTTTGAACGAAAAGCTACACTTGAAAAACATGGTCCAAACGTCCTTCAATTTGGATCACCATATGACTTCTTAAATACTTATTCTTTTCCCAGCTGGCCCATAAATTGGAGTTCAAGTGGAGAAACTAAGGTATTGTCAGATTTATGATTTCAGGGATCCAAAATTCTGAGCAATAACTTATGTTATGAAAAACTTTGCTGCTGATTTGTGTATGTAATTAAGAGGGAGGAGAGCTTGAACTCGGAGTGGTGGTAAATACAGAGCATGTTTGCTTCACGTAGCAGATTAGCTCACACTTAATAATGGAGAAAATGGGCCATAACTCAATGTGCTCAGGTTATCACGATTGCTATGTCTCTACTCTAAGCCTTTGATGTCAACAAGCACAGTACTTTGGGGTGCTGTCTCGCTTGTCAGCTTTGTTAGTCTGGGTCAAGATACTATCAAAGGTTCAGAAACTAAATTTCCTGGAGAACTGAGCCTCTTCCTGATTCTTCTCCGCCCTGTGGTATAAGGTTTATTTCCAAACTCTAAAGTGCCCAAAACCCTGGGCTTCAGAAGGTGTGCTGCGGCAGGGCTCACGATCTGCATTTTCAACCATCGTCTCAGGTGAATTTGATGCGACTGATTCAAACTACATTTTGAAAAACAGAGTGGGATGGGGTAAGGATGATGATACAGAGTCAGCTGTTCAAAGGTGTCCTGGTTCGGCAACTTTGGAGGCTAAAACTTAGTCCATTCACAACCTAGGAGACTAATGAAAGAGCGCGGGAGTCGTTGTGTCAGTTCCTGAGGCGCCAGCAACAAGGAAACTCGCCCACGCTCGGGGCGAGGCGACACCGGCTCCACCTAAACCACAAGTCTCTGAAACTCCTCAGGGATTTCTGCCAGTTTCACCTGACCCACAGGTCCACTGGGCTCCTCGCAGCTTCTCGCCACATCCACCGCGCTCGGCCGGGCGCTGCCGCCTCCTCACGACCCGAGAGCCGGGGGCACC